CCCCCTTCTAATACATAGCAACAAAACAAAACTGTTTTTCTGCTGAATACCAAACCCATTGGAAATATGTAATGTTGCCTGTTAGCAGAATTTTATTTTTAATTGACTCTTGCTTGTTCAAATAAGTGTAAATATGCTGTGGACTTCTCAGCCCACCAAAGTGGCCAGTAATCACTGTATCTCTGCTGTAGCAGGTCGATCTGCTGGCTGCTGACATGCACTGTGTACAGAAGGTGGCTGGTCACCCCACCCAGCCTGTTTGCAGAACATGATGCATCAGCTGATCTATGATATTCATCGTTTCATTTTCTTCAAATAAATTTGGACTTGCATCTTAATAGCAAATCCTTTCAAGACATGTATTGTGGCTGTCAAAAAATGAGATACTGAGAAATAGTGATATAATTGTCAGACAATTTTCACAAGCCTAAGAGTTGATGTTTTGGCAAGAGCTTGATGGGAAGTCAAAGAAAAAGCAGTGAAGGGAGAGGGGATGAAAAGCATAAAATTCTCAACCTCTCTTCTGGTCCAGAACAAAATGAAGTGTTTTGGTTTTGAACCAAATACGTCCAAAATGAATGATGTGTGTTGTGTGATGTGTGATATGTGTGAAACTGAGAGGAGTAATAGAGTCACTTTCACTTTGTCTGAAGATGAGCTGTTAAAGATTGGAAGAATTCAGTATAAACTTTTTTGTTTTAGAGCAATAACAAGACCCGGGATATTTTTGAAGTGAGGGGATAAATCTGTCTTTACTTAAATGGAAATTTCATCAAGTCTTGTCTTTGAACTATTGGTTGTTCTTTATTGGAGACCTCTTTAAGAGTCCTAAATGCCTATTAGGGAACTCGTTTACTAAAAAGGCCACTTCTGTCTTTGCTGAAGACTTGAAAGTTAAGTATTTAGCATCTGTAACTGGAACAGTTTTGCACCATTGGAATTAAGTATGTATTTATCGATGATGTTGTAAATTGACAAGTAATTTGAGCGTCAGTGGAAGGGAGGTAGCCTGGATCTGTCATTTTTTTTTTTCCTGACATTTAGAAAAAATAAAGTGAGAAGAGAAAGCTATAGAATGGATCTATAAAATTCCATTTCATCAAGATTTGTTCTAATAGTAGGATCACTCTTGTGAATAAGATGTGCAGTGGCACTTCTACCTGGTAGATGAGGTGTTTTGTTTCATTTTGTTTTTAAACATCTGTTAAATTGAGAGCTGATCTTGACCTGAATTTTTAGTGAAAGAAATTGGTTGTTACAGTGTCTTCATTGTGATCTGATGAAATCCTGCCAAATGTTTTTCCTCTTCACTGCTTTTAGTACACCAATGCTTGAAGTTTGAGACCTGGTTTGTTGGTAAATACAGTTAATCATGGTTCTATTTGTTAATTTTTCATCACAATTTTATTGTGAATTAAAAAAAAAAAAGAAAAAAGAAAAGCTCGGCTTGGCTTCCTCATAGGTTCCCTATACAAACAGCAAATTTATAACATAATTCCTTTGATTTAGCTTAATGTCTTACTGCTATTCCAGAACTATCAAGACATAATTTACAACCAGAAGGGATTTTAAATTGGAACAAAACCACCTGAATTTAGAGAGAAATGGTGTTATAGTAGTTCATGGATCAAGGCAAACAGTGGTTGTTCTTGAACTTGGCAAATACAACTCTTTTGCTTTAACAGAGAAATGTCTGACAGGTGTTTTTGTCAAATGCGAAGTGCTGTATGTTCTTTAAAATATTTGCCCTAATTACCTTAAAAGAGCTGGTTTTTAAATTAACAATATTTTTTGTATACACTTTACTGTGCTTTGATGTTTGATCTTCTGACTGTAACCTGACAAATACTATCTGATTATTTCACTGTTGTGTACAGGAGTTCTCATGTCTTGATTAATGTTATGTTTTCTAGATTTCATCATCCAATCCTCAGTCCTCTTGAAAGCAGCTTCCAGCTGGAAGTAGATGTGCTTGCACATCTCTTAAAGGCTCAGGCTCAGATCTCAGAGTGGAAGTTCCTTCCATCCCTGGTCAACTTGCACAGTGCTCACACAAAACTACAGACTTGGGGCCAAATTTTTGAGAAACAACGGGAGACCAAAAAACATCTGTTTGGAGGGCAGTCTCAGAAGGCTGTACAACCTCCGCACCTCTTCCTCTGGCTGATGAAGCTCAAAAACATTCTCCTTGCCAAGTTTAGCTTTTATTTTCATGAGGCCCTTAGTCGACAAACAACAGCATCTGAAATGAAAACTTTGACTGCTAAAACAAATCCTGATTACTTTGGGAAAATTTCCAGCTTCATCCGGAAGTATGATGCCGTCAATGTTTCCTTAATTTTTGACAATCGTGGATCAGAGAGTTTTCAGGGACATGGGTATCATCATCCCCATTCTTACAGGGAAGCCCCCAAAGGAGTGGATCAGTACCCTGCAGTGGTGTCTCTGCCCAGCGACAGGCCTGTTATGCACTGGCCCAACGTAATCATGATTATGACTGATAGAACCTCTGACCTCAACAGTTTGGAGAAGGTTGTTCACTTCTACGATGACAAAGTCCAAAGCACGTACTTTCTGACTCGCCCCGAACCTCACTTTACCATTGTAGTTATTTTTGAGTCCAAGAAGTCAGAAAGGGACTATCATTTTATTTCTTTTCTCAATGAAATTTCACATTCCCTTAAGAACTCCAAAGCTTTTGCGAGCTTGAAGCCTGGATCCAAAGGGTAAAAAGCAAACTACTTACAAGTTGTCAAGGCAGTATGCCAGCCTTGGGGGAGCTGTAGCTTTCAAGGATTACGTAAATTCATGATTCTCAGAGTCTAATTAAAAAGGAACCATTATTTTTAATGTTACAAGTTCCTTTTTTTTTTTTTTAAGCTAACAGACACTTGAAGAAAAGTATTTTTGGGCAGTACTCGGTGGGACTACTTAATTATGGGGTGCTAAATGGCCACAGTAGGAGTTTTCTTTTGTGTGGTTTTCAATTTCCAGTATGTTTATTTTTTCAGTCCACAACTTTGTTGCCTCTATCAGAAAGGAATATATGCACTTTATCTTAGTCTGATCGTTGACTGTCTTTTACAGAGTTTATTGAAAATGTGGTGAGGATAGAAGATGCTATCTTTTCAGAAAACTGCATTGCCTGACAGGAATGATTTCTGGGAACTAAACACTGATACAAGGGAATATTAAAAAAAGTGAACCTGCAAGGACACATTTTAAATAAAAATACGAGAATCACAAAAAGCACTATTGCTAATTATAACTTAGTTCTCAAATGGTTTAAAATTATAACTGGGGTCTCTGACACTCTCTGTTAAGCACCGGTCTATGTTCTGAACACCCTGTGTCATAAAGCTTTGTGATTGCTCCAGAATGCAGGCTGGGGCAACAGAAGCTGCAGCATGGGCTGGAAGGCCAGTATTCCCTGGAGTCTTGTGACATTGTGTGTCCAGTACCAGTCTTGGCTCAGATTAACTGAAGGAGACAAGCTGAGGTTGAGCAGGTATTCTAAAAGGAACAGCTCCATGGAAAAAGCAGCACAGCTCTTTTCAATTGTGCTTTTGTCTGGCTAACTTTTAAAAAAAAAAAAAAAAAATAGTAGGAAATGCCCTTGGTAAATGAGTTATTTTCTAATTTGCTGTTAGGGTCAACCTGGATTTGTTTTCAGATTTTTGTAAGTATAGATTTTTTTCTTTCTGTTCAGTTTTAAATAATTTCACAATTAAGCCAAATCACTTTTGGAATTTGGATTTAAATGTATAGCCTATGCAGTATGATTACCTCATTCTAAAATGTCTCATTGACCACTTACTTCTAGGCTGCAGGTTTGGAAGAAGTATGTTTTCTAGTTACCCTGAAAGTGCTTTATTTTGGAAATGAGTATTTCCAAATACAATAGAAGGGTCAATTTGGCTGTACCTATAGCCTTATATTGCATGATTCTTCTGTTAGCTATGCAGTCGTGCAAGCACTTTCGTGGAAATTCAGGAGGACTGATATGGGTCTGCTGTACGGTGTATGTCAGTGTAGTAGTTAGATCATTAGTTGACACTGTGTAATGTATAACATCATCAGGTTTGTTTTAAAAGGGAATCTAAGTCAAAATGTTGGTTTCTGTTAAGACTGAAATGTAAAAGATACCATTGCAGACATGGCTTTTACCAATTCCCTTTCTCTCCCACAAAAGGTTATGGTAACTTGTCTTGCCTCTTGCTGTAAGTACTGATTTCTTTACAATCACATGAGCATGTTCTGTTCTCAAAACGTAAGCTCTGACTTTCCACGTTGCACCAAATAGAGCCTTCCATGCTTTGCTATAATTACATGTCAGTCTGTTGTGAATATCTGTGCTACTGCTTTTCACCTGAAGTCTTTGACTGCAGTATCATGGAAAAGTTTAGTCTGCTCTTTTGCCATTGGAAAAATAACAGGAGCTGCAAACATACCAGCAACTGGAAGGCACCTGGTTGTAACGGGGTTACGCTTTGCAGCTTGAATTGCCCTTTTAACAGGACAAAGTTGCAAATGACCAATATTGAGAGCATTTGTGTGCTTCCCTCTGTGGGACAGTGACCTTGTAATAACATTGTACTACTGACTTCCTCAGCCTGAGTAACAGAAAAGAGGCTGTCGCCAGAACTGATTCCCGGTCTTCAGCAGTGTAATAAAGTGGTGTACAAATTCTATCTGCCTCTACAGTATTTCCCTGTTGTACTAGCTACCTGTGGGAAAGGGGAGAGGGGGCTGGGGGGAGAGACCGCGTGTGGTACAGACACCTTCTTGCTCATTTCTGAGTTGCAGGGGACATATTGGAAGAGGTGAAAGAGAAATCTGCAGCCCTTTGGAGCAGACCAGCAGCTTTTACCAGTTGCTGAAATGGCTGGAGGCTGTTCCCAGTGGTTTTTATGGGGAGAGGAAAAGGAGGCGTCTGTTCAGCAGACCTGGTGGTTCACATCACACTCCTGCCGTTATTTATGGTGAGTGATGTCTCTGGGAACGGGGAAGGGATGCTCGGTGATGTTTCTGTGCCGGAGGAGGTGAGACTTGCTTTGCCCCTTATCAGTGCTGGGGTGGTTTGCTGCAGTTTTCTTCAGAGGATCTTGGAGAAGCGGCCAGATGAGCCATCTGACTTGTCGGTAAGAATTTCTGAATATTTAGGTTGATGAAGAACTGAAGGGAGCCATAACCAGGGAAGGAATGGGACAGATGTACAGACAAACAGTAGGAGAGAATTGCATGCTGGAGAGCAAAACTTTTGTGGAGCTGCCTGTCTTTCAGAGTCCTGTCCCTGAGGGTCTCCTTGTAAGGTCTCAGCCTTAACTTAATACAAAGTGGGGAGCAGAAAATCCAGGCCGTAGGAAGTGGCTTGGATGAAAACTGCAGGTGTGAAGCTGAAGAGAGGTTACACAAGAATCGATACCAATAGTTTTGCAGAGTTGAGGTGTGAAACGACCAAACGTTAAATGTGTGTGGGGCGTGAGTCTGTCTGATGAATGATTCTGTATAGATTTGTTATCCCCATGCAAACTTATGGCACAGTTTCTTATTTAATGCTTTGAGGAGTTTGTTTCAAATAACAAATGCGTTAAGGGGGAGACAGAGTTATCTACAATGTAAAATTGGCTAGGCCAGTAATGAACACCTGCATAATTAAGGGGGGGAGCATAGCTGTGGAATAAGTAAAGGTGACCAGAAACTCAGTAACTGGAAAAAATATGTTAATTACTAACCTCAGTACTGGAAAGATTGGTCAGTTTCTTTACTATAAGAATTGGAGAACAAATGTGCTTTTGCCAAGCTGGGTGATACCCTGTCTGCCAGCTTTTCCACTCCGCCAATTTAGCTAAGCGAGATTGAATGTACTAATGTGCTGTAAAAGTCTTGTATAAATGACGGCTTTAAATGCAAGATGTAAAGACGTTTATGATAACATAATGAAAGCCAGTGCATCCAGACGTAGTTAAAAGTTTTTAAAACAGGTGCTGAGATTTGATATTCTTGGTGCCACTCAGACTGCTGAGAATAGCAATGTGGAAGCTTAGCTTGTAGTGAATTTCACGTACCTCATCCCTCGAGTCCATGAGGAGTTTGGCAGAATGTTTAATTTATTATCCTTTGCGTGGCGTGTGAATTTGACAGCAAATGTATTCTCAGATCTCTTACGTATTTTATATTTACGTCTTGTAAACTCTTTTCTTTTACATGGAGCGTTCAGGTTTTTTTCTTGAATAAAATGTCTTTCCTTTTCTCCCCACTTTTCATGAAGACAATGCAGGGAATGGAAACTATTAATATATTTTGTATTGTGTTGCAATATATGCATAATGCACATAATATTCAGGTTTTAATGATCTAAAAGTAACATAAATTCCTGGTATCTATTTGAATACTATCACTCGGTGTTTATCTAACTCACTTAAAAAAAGGTCTGCGTTCTAAGTGAAAATAATTTTATGACACTCTCCCAGTTAATTATTGCTCTGGTCTGCTCTTCTTCCTACACGAGCCTTTTGAGACACTTGTAATCCTTCTAGTGGTGGTTCTTTGGTTGATAGCAGTTATCTGAGGCTTCCTTGCGTACGCGCCTACGACACCTGCTGCCATGGATCAGCCTGCTGCCTTTTACTGCGCTGGGTCCCAATCTTCCTGTAACCAAACTTTGCTAAAGAAAATCAGCAATGTGCTATACTTCAGTCCTCCCGTCCTGTTTTGTGGGGTTTTTTTTGTCCCAATATCTACAACCCCTCATCGTGCAGTAAGAAGAGTGCCACGCAGTGTGGCTGGTCCTGGGCTTGTGATTAGCTCTGTGATTGCTTCCAGAAGTGCTGGCACTAAGCGAACTAGCTTGCCTGAAGCTTTGGTGTTTCTGCCCTGTTTTCTCCAGAAGTCCCATCTTCAGGCTCCCAGGGACATAAGCCAGCCCTGCCCGGGTGGATGCAGCTGAGGCCAAGCACTGCTCGTTTGCTCGGGCCCTGCCTGAGCCTCAAGAGCGGTAAGTCGGTGTCCTGCCCGTCGGGGACAACTGCTCAGCAGGGATGGCCTTTGGGCTGCGATTGTGCGAAGGCGGGAGCTGTTCATGGGAATGGCAGGAGAGACTCTGGAAACAAGAATGCTTGCAAAGGACAGCAGTAGTGTAATGCTTTGCAGATCAGGCACGCAAAATAAACAAGTCAAATGCAAGACGGAATTGGACTTTGATTTCGTTTTCCTGTTGGTGAAGGACTGATTTAAAGATAAAGTCTCCTTTGGAGGATAAAGGTAGCAGATTCTTTTGCCATGAAATTGTTTAAGTACTTGACCATTTTCCTCCAGGAACAACTTCTTTTCCTCTTTTGTGCATGTGTGCTTTCACACGTTGCCCGACTTATTTTTGTGATTGCTGTGGAGCTTTTCTGCACTCTCTTTTGAGTTCAGTTCTCTCCTCGCTTTTAACCTGGCCTTGCAGCTACTGGGTTTGTGGTAGAAGAACAGAGCTCCCCACCTCGCAGCTGGGACCTGACGGTGCCCGAGCTGTCCATGGCAGCGGTAAGAAGAGCCAAGCGCAGAAGAGAAGGCAAATCACTTGGGCTGGGGCGGATGAAAGACAGGCAGGGAGAAAACGGGCGCAAAAGGACTGCAATGCAGACAGACCATGAGCAGACAGTTTTTGTTGGTCCCTCTGTGTCACTGGCCTAATTTTGCAGGAGTCTGTATAAATTTTATATCCTGCAAAAGCTGCGCTACACCCTGCCTAGAGTTGCAGCTGCTGGGTATACGTGACTACTGTAAAATAACTACGCTATTTCCAGGCTGACAGTGTTCCATCTTTAGGTACCAACAATCCTGGTGAAGCAGTTGGTTTTGGACAGGTGATTAAGACAGGCTTTGCTGTATCCCATTATCAGCTGGGATATGCTGCTGTGATGGTATGAGCTAACCTCTGAAGATTCAGAGCAGTGCGATGTCATGCTTATTTTGTGCAGCTCACTGCTGATCAGATAAAATATTTAGTGGCACTAAATTTTTGGCTCTAT